TCAAACTCAAATCATCCGGGGGCGCAGGACGTAGAGTCTGAGGGAGACTGGGCCGCATCAAGTCACTCAACAAAAAAGTGATTACAAATTCTATAAGAACAACTGTTATAATCTGCTCAAACTTTTATTAATAAAAAATAAAAACATTAAGGGTTCTCAAGAACTAGGGTTCACTTTCTTCCTCCTACTCCGTGGTGCCAGAGACCTTGCAGTGCTTCTTCTTACACAGCTGAGGTAAATTTGGTTTGAGTGAGGAGCAACTGAGATCCTCAGTATAGCTTGAAGATGCTCATCAGTAAGTTTGGCCCTGAACTTTGACATGTTATAGTACATAGTGGAAAAGAGCTTTTCATACAGATAGGTACTCCTAAAAAGGCACGTGATCCACTTGAACAAGCTGTAAATATCAGACAAGGTGGTGGGCAATGCCCTCATAAATTGTCCATGCTTGTATGTTTTCCCATTCACCTCCCTGAACTTAGAATTGCACTGAAGATCACTCAGCTTATTTTTTTTTTTAAAAGGGGTTGGGCGTATCTTCCACATTGAAGGAGAAAGGGTCAGCAAAAATTTTAAAAGTGGCTCTGTGTGTTTTGAAGTCTGCAAACATGTGATCAAATTCTTCCTGTAGCTTTGCAATGGCATCAGTCTACTTACAACTGAATGGTGTGCCCGAGTCTATGAGTACTTTGCATATTGGGAAATGACAGAGGTTTCTCATGTATTAAGAAACAAGTTTTGTGCAGAATGCCCTGACATTGTCATAGGCAAGACTGAAGAGCCGCCTCTTGTCTTATAACTTCTTGTTGAGTACATTCAGCTACTGAGTAATGTCAACAAGAAAAGCCACTTCCATGAGCCATTTGGGATCACTTAGTACAGGAACAACCACCCCATCCTTCTTCATGAAGACTGTGAAGGGTAAATCGTGTTCAAACGGTAGCAGCAGGCAATGATTGTGAATAATTGATGCGAAGGAAGATGCTTTTGAAGGGAGAATCGTGTTCAAACGGTAGCAGCAGGCAATGTTTGTGAATGATTGATGCGAAGGAAGATGCTTTTGAAGGGAGAATCGTGTTCAAACGGTAGCAGCAGGCAATGTTTGTGAATGATTGATGCGAAGGAAGATGCTTTTGAAGGGAGAATCGTGTTCAAACGGTAGCAGCAGGCAATGTTTGTGAATGATTGATGCGAAGGAAGATGCTTTTGAAGGGAGAATCGTGTTCAAACGGTAGCAGCAGGCAATGTTTGTGAATGATTGATGCGAAGGAAGATGCTTTTGAAGGGAGAATCGTGTTCAAACGGTAGCAGTAGGCAATGTTTGTGAATGATTGATGCGAAGGAAGATGCTTTTGAAGGGAGAATCGTGTTCAAAAGGTAGCAGCAGGCAATGTTTGTGAATGATTGATGCGAAGGAAGATGCTTTTGAAGGGAGAATCGTGTTCAAACGGTAGCAGCAGGCAATGTTTGTGAATGATTGATGCGAAGGAAGATGCTTTTGAAGTGAGAAGGAATTTTTATTTTCTATCCTAGGAAAGGGCTTTTTTGACGAGCCCTATTTTGAAAATAACCAAACTGGCAGGCTCGGAATTTCCTTCACTCGTAAACACAAGTGGCAATTTTAACAGGGATTCTTTGATACTGGGTCAGTTTGTTACGATTTACACAATTATGGTTGTGCTTTACCCTCTAATTGACCTATAAAACTTTTCTCAAAACCGCACTTTTGCCATGTTTGTCTTATAAAATGCTATGACATAAAAACTTTTATTTCGATTTTAAAACGGTTTTACCATTATAATCAAATCTATACAAACATAATAAAATCAGAAATGACCAGTCGGTGACATGGCATCCAGGTTGAAAAACCACTGGTCTAGACCCGAGCTCAACAACTTTTTTTTGTCCACGCGTGTCACACTCGAGGGCCTTCCAAGAATTTACACGACCCACCACAAGTAAACACTTCAAAGATATTCTCCAAAACATAATGGAGTTAAAATTCATAATGTCGTGAAATATATTGTGTGCTCCATTTTATTTGTCGATTCCGGAAACATTTATGAAGAGTTTGACAGTTTGGTGACATGCTAACCAATGTGTGTCCCTTTTGCAGGCCTATGCCGTGTGCTTTTCTTCGTAGTTGAGGCATTTTGCGCTGCTCACTAAGGGTTGCCAGGCATGTCCTCCTTTTTAGCTCAATATTCTCCGTCCGGTAGGCAAAGCTAAAAATCTTTTAAATGTTCGGCTTTTCTTACATTTTATATTATAATGTTTATGTATCGTTTTTACAACTATTACATCGTATGTTTACGTTGTTACAATGTACAAAGTCTATGCATTTCTGCGAACCAGTCCATTTTAGTCATTCTAACAATCTAGCTCTGTGCTGCATTATCTATGGTCAAAATGTTAATATTATTTCCGGTTCCGGCAACAAAGACGCAAATTTAATTAATTTTTTTTTAAATTTGTAATGTTTGCCGTTTATGAAAACGGCTTCTACCAAGAGAAAATGCAAATTCTCGAACACTATGAAAAATAAGTTTCCTTGCTTCGTTTAAGAACGCAATGAGAATGAGGCAAAGTGTGCTATTTGCGATAGTTACTTGTCCGTTGCCAACAACGGAGCTACTGACTTGGAGTAGCGCCATGTTGACAGTGACATAGAAACCTACTTGTCCGTTGCCAACAACGGAGCTACTGACTTGGAGTAGCGCCATGTTGACAGTGACATAGAAACCTACTTGTCCGTTGCCAACAACGGAGCTACTGACTTGGAGTAGCGCCATGTTGACAGTGACAGACGTAGAAACCTAATCAAGGTGTCCGCGTCATCGAACAAAGTGACGTCTTTTTTTTCAGCCCAAGTATTCAAAGGTGTTGCTGAAAGCACATGTGGCTGAAGCAACTTTGGCATTTCATACAGTTTGTCATCATCAATCTTACAACTCGATGACCTGCACAGTTGGTTTGATGCACACATTATTGGAAGATTCGGAAATCCAGCTGTTGAGACGCGGCTGAAGCTGTTTGCTGCTTTGAAAGAATATGTTCTTTCTGTAAACCAACCACCTGCTATGATTTTTTCAAAAAATTGAGAACGATTTTTCAGAAGTTTACCTTTGGGTCTGCATTCCTTGATGTCTGTCTTCCAAGTCAATGTTGAAGTCATTGAAAGAGAAGAAACATCAGTAGTAGAGGTTATGAGCCTTCTTCACACTATCTTGGAAGTTTTGAAAAACAGATTGAAGGAGACCTTTATTTCACTGAAAGTCAGGGAGATGTTGAGAAGACTCAAGGAAAGTGTTCGAGAAGAAGAGTATAATAATTTTATGGCAGATGTAAAGTTGGTGTATGAAGCGTGCATTAGTTACTTAGAAAAGTGGTTGAAACCTTTTGATGAATTTCAATGCTTTAATTGGATGTACTTAGATAAAATCAAACCAAAGACTGTAAATTTGATGACCTTTTGGCATGCATATTTTATCTGAAAGAGAATGGTATTATTGTAGATGTTGTGAAATTGTTTGGCCAATACTGCAATCTTAAATCATTTGTACAAGACAAAAATGAACAGTTTTTTGAAAGACTCTTGCATGAACAGTGACGTTTATTTTTCCAAAGTTGCCCAAATGCATGTTGGTTTTCAGAGTTACTTAAAATTTGTGAATTTTTCTTCCGTATCCCTGGCCACAGTGGTAATGTGGAAAGAGTGTTCTCCTTGACTAATGCTCAATGGACAAAGGAGAGGCATAGACTATTACGCGACTCTGTAAATGACATCATTCTTACGAATTACAATTTGAAGAGTCTTACATGTGAACAGTTTTATGCATATGTGATTGCTAACGAGGATATTTTGCAAAAGGTTGGCTCCTCCGAGAAATATGTCATGTAATTTATAAAGATTATAAGGTAATGATTGTACAATTGGCTATTTAAATGATGTTTTTTTTACATTTTGAAAAAGGCGTCCATTGAATTTGTTTTTGTTTTTTTTAACGTGACTGTTTCTTGGTCGATTCACTAAGAGTAAGATACACTTAATTGGCAGCTATTACAATAAAATTGTGCTGACTGTGAGTTTAATCCGGGACGATTCAAATGAAACATTCAAAATGTCCTCCTTTGACCTCCTTTTTGTTTTATTATGTCCTCCTTTTGGTGACCACATATCTGGCAAACCTATGCTCACGTAGCATTATCTTGCGGCACAACAGTCGCGTAGCTCTTGTCTAAAGCCAAGAATATATTTTGATAAAGGTCTACTGGTCTCTGGGTCTCAGTTAAAAATGTTTAGGCATATTAATAATTCTCTCTTCGAAAACTACTCATCATGCATGTATTTTTTCTGCGTTTTTATGTGATAATTTTAGATTTTTCAAAGTATCATAAAATAATCACTTTCAATAATTAAAAATAGGTAGAGCTTTAGACAGTATCAAAATTATTTTCAAAACCGAGGGGAATTTCGGAAAAAAGGAGGGGGGGGGGAGGGGGGATATATTTGAAATAAATAAAAATAAAGCCAACGAGGTAGCCCTTTACAAGATAATTATGTTCGACTTCCTTTGAACCAAAATATAAGTTCACATGAATGATTTCAAATACTATTACTAATTTATTTTCAAAACCGAGGGGAATTTCGGAAAAAAGGAGGGGGGGGGGGAGGGGGGATATATTTGAAATAAATAAAAATAAAGCCAACGAGGTAGCCCTTTACAAGATAATTATGTTCGACTTCCTTTGAACCAAAATATAAATTCACATGAATCAGTTCAAATACTATTACTAACCATACACAATCTAAGCTATTTCATTATAAATGCTATATTTGTAATGTGGTTATAATAAGGATAAGCTGAAATTTTAACAATTATCAGTTTATATAAAATAGATAATTTCAGAAATCTTAAACAATTAAATTGTCCTGCAAATGAACGTTTCCGAAAATCTGGTCAAATGTATCAGTAAACTGTACGCTCTAACGTCACATCCTTTCCAGCTAAGATGTCGCGGCGAGATGGAGCAATTTACGTGGGTCGGCTATCAAAAAGTACTCGCACCAGAGATTTAGAGGAAATATTTGAGCCTTATGGAAGGCTCTTAAGATGCGATATCAAATATGGTTAGTACATTGAAATAACCCTTAAAACTTACTTCAGCATTGCATTATGTTAAGTTAGAAAATTTAATTGTACAAAATCAAAATGGCTGCCACCCAACGCCATTCTTTAAAAAAAATTAATTAATTGTTGCCTATTTAACTTTTTCAGTATTTGTTGTGGTGGAAGCTCTGCTATCAAATGCGATCGAATCTGCCACTAAATAAGGATTCATGACTTGATCTTTTATTAGAAAATAAAACCCATTTAAAATTTAGATGGATGTAAGTGTAAATGCAACATGTGATAATTTCCCATAAATCAGACCCAACCAGGCCATTCTTCCTAACTTACCCTTTCCACTCACTAGGCCTACATCTCCCCAGCCAGTTGCAATTTTTTACCAAATACTCATCCCCTGCAACTAAGGTAGGCACCTTGGCCTTGGAGACAATCAGGGGAAATCGGATATTGCGATATTTAGTACTTGGGCAAAATTTTCTGGTAAATTTGGAGTTATGGGTTTTGCCAAGAGTTTTCTCACCCTAAGAGCAGTGATGTCACATTGGGCAATCCCAACACTGGACCTATTGTGAATAGTTCTATTCTTTGAAGGACACGAACGATGTGTGTTATAACATTCCTTTACTTTATTGAGCATTACTCGCGTCATAAACAATACGGTTAATATGAAGTGTATTGAAATTAAATTTTCCATTTTTTTAAATTAAAATTCAACATACACGTTTCAAAAGAAAGGAAAAAAAGCTGTGTCTGCACATCCGCATATCTCCCGCACTCACATGACCGCTGGTAGAATACTTAAATCACTTTATCGAGATATTTGTCCAGCGACCAAATCACATGACCGCCATAACAAAGTGGATCGAGAAATTCATCTGTCAGCCTTGTCACATGACTGAGAAGGATTTAAAGCTATTGTTAATTAATTTTAATGTACTGAGTGTCTTGCAAACAAATAATAGAAAAAAATACTTGGGTATATAACCAAAACAAAGTGGGGGTTAAGCAATAATGCACTCTAGAAGGAAGCAAAGCTGAGAAGGAGAGAGAATTACGCTAATAAAAAAATACGAATGCTAAAAAAATAAAAAGTGAGGGTGATAAATAATTACGTTTAAGGCGGGGAGGCCGATAGTTAACAAAGAGATACACCCTACATATTAATATAGGGCAGCTATAGAAGTAGCCTAATTCTCATGCAATAATAAATACTAATCCTGAAATACAACTTTATTGACATAGTCTGGGTCTATTGAAGTCTACTGGTCTTATTTTATTTGGTTCATATTTTAAATTTAGGCTTCAAGCTAGAGCTTACAAGATTTTTAAGCAAAATAAGGGACTTTTTTTTTTGAAGAGTCGGAATCAAATAGACTAGTAATAGTACTACTAGTTAGTATATAGGCCGACTAGTTTAATATTCAAATATTCAGCTGACTAATATATGTACACAGAATTGGAATATCCAATGCAATGCAACTATTTTGCAGGCGACCACTTGCTTCATGACATGTGTACCGCCAAAATATCTTCCACTAGTCGTCCGACGGGGCGGTCATGTACCCGAAGAAGAATTTCTCCCACTTGTCGTCCGGCGGTCTCATGACATGCCCGCCGGACGTATATCTCCACCACTATTTGTCCGGCACGCCAGCCGTGTTGACACTTTGAAAAAAGAAACACATCCTTGCTGATACCCCAAGACCCAACACCGGTGAAAAATAAAGACGCCCGCCAAAATTGCTGTATTTTGATTAGTTGAAAAGTCTGTTGAGACTTGCGTAACTAAAGGAAGACTACCGCTTAAATTGCATTTTGAATAATCTTCTAGGAATTTGGGAGGGGTGACCCCCTCCTCTTTAAATACCAAAATAAGAAACAGAAATTCTGGGGGGGGGGGGTGTGTTACCCCTCCCCAATTTAACAAAAAATATAAAATTAAGAAAACAATAACTTGCATTATGTAAATACAAAAATCTAAATCTTTTTAGTATGGCGCTGTACACGGAAATGGACCTGGGGGAACCTTAACTAAAGGAAGACTACCGCTTAAATTGCATTTTGAATAATCTTCTAGGAATTTGGGAGGGGTGACCCCCTCCTCTTTAAATACCAAAATAAGAAACAGAAATTCTGGGGGGGGGGGTGTGTTACCCCTCCCCAATTTAACAAAAAATATAAAATTAAGAAAACAATAACTTGCATTATGTAAATACAAACATCTAAATCTTTTTAGTATGGCGCTGTACACGGAAATGGACCTGGGGGAACCTCCGTGACCTATATACCCTGGAACACATTGTCGACTCAAAACCAGCCAAAGTTTCTAAATGAAGTTACAGTTTTAAGAGTTAGTTGGTTAGATAAGGCCTGAAAAATTTAATTCATTGATACCAAATATATATGGTTGTATGTGAATTCTAAGTTAAATAATTTTTTCATGAATTATTTTGGGATAACTGTCAGGTTGTTTTTTTTTTATATTCAAAGCCACGAAAATACGCCATTAACGACATGGGTTTGCCAACAGTTGTCTCTAAGGCTAAGCGCTGTGACGCCACTTTGGGGAATCCCAATACTGGACCTAAACAATGACCTGATAATAACTTTCCTGTTCATCACTGAGCATTATTTGCATGAGAAACTGAAACTGACAATCAATAGTTATGAAATGTATTAAAATAACATTGTCCCTTACGTTTTTATTAAAATTCAACTTACAAGGTTCAAAAGAAATGAAAAGAAACTTATCTTTGCTAATACCCCAAGATGAACTCCGAAAAAGCTGTGCGTATAGCTAGAAGTGCTATTTTTGCATTGGTTGAAAATTAAGTGCCAGCTAGTCATTTCTATAATGTCTCAATTTAACAGGACGTTACAACATGATTTTTGGGATGGGAGACTAGCAAATAAAAAGAGCTAAATTTCGAAATCTTTTTAAAAACTGTGGCTGGTAGTTAATTGGCCATAGTCATCCAGATTCGTTAAAATATATCTTATATGATTGATATTATTAGTAGTAGTCCTTATATAGCTCGTTTCCCCAGCCTAGGGCTCACCCCGCTGTACATAAAAATATTAGCAAACATGATCATAATATCTAAGACAAATTATAAGTTTAACTCACTTCTAAACATTTTCAGTTACTAATACATTATTTAGGTATTCTAAATGAATATTTCATAATGAAATTTAATAAAATTCATCTAATTCTCTAAAGGCTTGCACTAAACAGAAGCACCAATATTTACTCTTTCTATCCGGCATTTCCAAGTTCTGATGGAATTATCTTTTTTGCAAGTTTGATACGCAATGATATCTCTAAGCCATCATAACTTTTTGGTTTTTTTGTTGGTATGGAATTAAAGGAAATGTATGCTCTTGACAAACTACAGACTTGGGTTTAAATTTTAATTTATAATATGATTATGATTTATGGAAAATAAAAAATTTAAATAACTCAACTAACTGTTCACAAAACACTCATTCCAAGTCACACAAAAAGATATATATAATCCAAAGTATTTGGACGCATCAGGAGGAACCCCCAGAGGGCGCATTTAGTCCCAACCGTCAGGAATGAGTTAATACAAATAAAATATTCTTTTCACAGGTTGATGGTGTACTTTATAGAAACTTGTCATTAAACCAGTGTGGCAAGATGTCTCTAGACCCATAACATGCAAAATAGGGGCAACAAACTTCAAATAACATATCTTTTAGGTTATCTACTATGTCATACAATTTTCAATATCAGTACTGAATTGCAGCTTTCTAAACCAATTTTTAATACAAACTTATGTTTAAAATACTAAATTTTGGGTTTGAAAGTACCCTTTTTCAGATATTTCTTAGGCATTATTTTTATTTTTAACCTTTTCTTAGGCATTATTTTTATTTTTAACCTGAGTCTATTTCCAATTAAAAACATGATGTGAAAAGTTTATTTTGATATCTTGCGTGGTTAATTTTCAGCAATTTTTAAAATACTATAAAATTTTAATTCTGTGTGAACATGCTTATTGTGAGATAATTTTTTTAATTTATCCTCTGCAGGTTAATTTCACAATAATAAACTAAGTTTCCTTTAAAATTATCAGAAAATAATTTTCCAACTGGTGATTTAGTTACCGTAATTGTTTAAGAATTTTTAAAAATGAAATAAAATTTTCATTTTGTCTCCCTTCTCAAATTTACTCGAATTGTGCTTCTGCTCATTTCCGTATGAATACATTTTTTATTTACATATTTGTGAAAACCCTGAAACGAATTGAGTTTTTTTATATGTGTAACTGACTATGTGTGCAAGAGATTTTAAAGTTCTAACTTAATTATTTAAGAAGACAGTGGGTGTCAATACTACACTTATGATTCATCTAAAACTTATTCGCTATTCCTAAATTTAAAAAAAAACAACGCTCCCATCGTTGATTTTAATTAAGGATTTCGTGCGGATCGACGATGAATAGAAACCTGTTTATGTCAGTTCTTTTCTTTGCTATTGGATTTTAATTACCTTAATGAAATCTAGAATGATTTCCCTTTGATAAACATCCAGCTTCTCTTTATTTCAACGAGTTTTTACATAGAACAAAGTGTTTTAAGCGGTTATTTTGATTTTCCATTTTAGTTTTGTGTACAAACATGAAATCTTGACCTGACCCATCTGGTAATAGATCTAATAAAGGTTAAAAATATTACTCTTACGATTCAGACAGAGTTTATGATTTCGGATGCAGATGCATCATAATTATAATCCTAGTACTAGTGACAAAATGATTAAATTGATAATTCATTAGATGATGAACAACAAGCCCTGCCCCCCGCCTAAGTGCCTTGTAAAAGAGCTACCTGATCATAAATGCTAAGTTAACTATTACAATTAAAAGATTATAAATACAATTTAACTCATTCCCTCCGGCAGTGCTTCTTCCGGACTTAATTTATTTTCCTGAGAAAAGGGAAGCAACTCAGTTTTGAAATTGATATTTTAAAAATGTATATCAATGTAAATATTCATTTTTTGTTGCATTTGTTCTTAATTTATTAACATTAAATAACATTTAGCAACTTAAAAGACTATTTTTAAAATGTAATTTTTTAGTTGCTAAATGTTATTTAATGTTAATAAATTAAGAACTCATGCAACAAAAAATGAATAAGGTTTCATATAACATTAGCGGGGAAAAAATAACGAACAATGGCCAAAAAATCTATATTCGTCTCTTCGGACGAACACATGCTACATATAAACGCGCCGTGCTAAAGCACACATAGTTTTAAAGTGAAACAAGATAAAAACTTCCGGTTTCTAAATTAAAATCACGCAGAAATCACGCCATAGCCGGAAGTCTCGAGACGCGAGATTTCATTGCTATTTTTAAGGTTTTCAATGGGCATTTAACTCTGGTGATTTGTCGCTAGCAGAAAGATTTATCCAAATACCTACTTAACAGTTGAAGTGTACACTGTAATAGGCACCAGTGTTTATACAAATAGGTCATAGCTACATTTTTTTTAATGTGGGAAGTCTTTTTGAAATTTTACAATAAGATATTTGAACCACATGTCAAAGCGTATTATGCATACTTTGAAAAGATGTCATACATATTTTATTTCTATTTTCAGGAACAGAAATGGGTGAGTGTACGTACAACCAAAATGGCTTCTTATTTTGGATGCAAGTGCAAATGATATAGCTTTGTTTTATACCATCAAGGTCAGATGTATTTGTCCTCAATTTGTTGATTGTACATGAGTGTTTAGTAGCTTAAGTGTACACAAATATTAATGGGCAATGTAAAACTTGTTCAAATCCTTCAAAAGTGTACCATCTTGCACAAACATCAATGTAATCAGGACTGTAAAGGATTTTGCTGGAAAAAAATAACATGGTGGTGTTATTTAATTTCACTTCTGATTACACTGAAAAATGTGAACGTCCAACATGTACCAGATTAATTACCCTTTTAAAAAACTATTTCCCAAAATTGTTTTTGCTGATTAACTCTCTTCAGTCTGTTTTTTTTTTTTTTTTTTCAATTTTGTTAAAAAATATTAAGGTGATTTTTAAAAATAAATGATCTCATCTGAAATAGCTCCTCAAACTCTAAAAATCGTACAATATTATCACAAAATCGTTCGATACACTATCTTAATAGTAAAAAAAATAGACATGTATACACCTCAACATCGTACATTGTACGCCAAAATCTTAAGAGTAAACAGGTCTGGTTATATATATTAACTTGTTCATCTTTGACTCAGCTATCATATATTTTTTTTAAAAAAAATTCTAAGTTATAAAAATAATTAACATAGTTGAGAATAATTTTTTTTTTTTTTTTCATTTTAAGCAAAATTTTCACAAAGTATGAAGGGAAAAAAACTTTTTATAAAAAATTGAAAATTTATTTAAATAAAATTATATATTTTTTTTAAAAAAAATTCTAAGTTATAAAAATAATTAACATAGTTGAAAATAATTTTTTTTTTTTTTCATTTTAAGCAAAATTTTCACAAAGTATGAAGGGAAAAAAACTTGTTATAAAAGATTGAAAATTTATTTAAATAAAATGCTTTATCTAATAAAATTCATAGTCAAACATTTTTAGGACAAAAAAAAAAAATTGTCAATATTTTAGCCAAACCCATATGTCATTTTCTTCTTCTAAAAAATGCACTAATTTTTTTATTTTTTTTAAAATTACAATTGTTTTGTATGTAATATATTTTTAAAAAATGGGCGTCATAACTTATTGATTTGTATATTAAATATATTTCTTGATAATTATTGAGTAAAAGATATCAAAGTAAAATTTTATGATAATATAAATAACTCAAGAGTCAATGTTGTTTTCTTTTTAATGTTATCGTACCGGTATTCCCTCAGGTTAAAGTTAAAAGCAATTAAAATGATTCAGTACAATGCTGCTAATTTTGATATAAATGCCCAATGTGATCCATTCCTCACTAATCTTGTCTATCTTTTCCTCATGTACCGGTATTTTTTTATATATATCTTTGTTATAATCCTCGCATAACACAGGCCAACAAACTACAGTATCGCTAAATTATATTTATGGATGCTGAACGACTATTCTTTCTTAAAACTAGTATGTATTTTTATTATAATAATTATAAAAGATGAATTAGAGCTTGTCCTGGTCTTGATTTCCATGACGAGTAGGTAACATTCTTCACCACAGAACATTCGCTTAATAACCTGTGGAAAAAAAAAAGTTTTATTCATAAATAAAATTAACACTAATGGTATCAGTAATGATATACTATCAGTAAGGGGAAAATACCATTAATCCTATTCCAAATGTCTAAATTAGTATAAAATTAAACCATTTTGTTTTTTATTCTCTCTTGAGCCTCTACTAATAGTAGTGACTAGCGATAATGATAATTAAATTTAAACACATTTCTGCTATGCAATATTAGAAAATTTAGTAGATGATTCATAGCAGTAATATATTTTAAAGAAATATATTTAGGTAATAACTCAATTCCTTAACTTTCCCCCAGCTAGAGTTTCCACTATTTTTTAGAAAATATTTATCTCACATAGCCACACTATTTATTAATTATAAAGTTGTTGAAAATCTGTAAGATTCCAATACAATCCTATATACGTATAAATGGATAATATATATTAAAATTACAAAAATATCACTTGTTTTATTATGAATTTTAAGGTTGGGAAATAATTAAAATTAAGTTTACTTGTTTACGATAGATACCATTAGTCTGTGCTTTTAAATGTAAATAAGGATAAATTCCATGATCAGAGTCTCCACCTGAGTACATTTCTGTAGAAAAACAAATAACTCCTTGATAAATTGTAAAGTTAAAACCATTTGACCATAAAAATACTAATTAGTTTTTTGTGAATTATATTTTTTTTTGTAGAAATCTGCGAAGCTTTCAAGCAATGCTCAGGGCTGAATAAGTTTTCATAAATAAATATTTTTTAATAGTAATTTCAAATTGTGTAATAATTTTATATTAAAAAAAAACACTTTAACCAATGAAAAAAAATATATATATATATATAAAAATATTTTTAAAAAAATAAAAATTTAGTTAAAAATAAACCACCCACATAGCCTATGGTACTAAGTATAGCAGACCTGTTCACCCTCAAAATCTTAAAAGCGTACAAAATCATTCTATACATTATCTTAATAGTAAAAAAATAAACATACAGTATATATAATGCATGCACCTCAAAATCGTACGTTGTACGCCAAAATCGTAAGAGTAAACAGGTCTGGTATTGTCAGACTGCAGAGAGATTTAAAAAAAACAATTTTCACCAATGTCCCTTGACCTGTGACTATGATTATTCATATATGATGCTGAAATTATTTTTGTCTGCTATTGGGGTAATTGTTTTCGGAAGTGATTTGGTTTTATTTTCAGAATACTGCTCTTAAAATTGCTTGTACAATTTAATATTCATTTATCTAAAGACAATATTGCATTAACTGTTTTATAAATTTTTAAAGCAGGCACTGCCTATCCTTACGATCAGAATTTGTTCTTTTCAGCATATGCCTTTATAGACTTCGAAGACAGGCGTGATGCTGAGGTAAGTCAAGGGGCTTAATAGATCTAAAATATTTAAAGTAGCACTATTAAGTGTTAATTTATATTTAAGAATAAACAAATGTGTACATTGAAAACGTATTTGATTTTACATTTCAATTTACTTCTTATTGTTTAAAAAAATATTTATGTCAATTTGGTATTTTTTTAACCCCTTCTGCATCCATGTGACGCCTGTACGTCATGCATAAGTTTCACTTGGCCATTTTAATTTTTGTGACTTGGTGAACTATTATTCTAATTGCTCAAAATAAATATGAGGGGAATCAATTTAAAATTTGTGTGACATTTTAAAAAATCTGTAGTGCCGTAGAAAGCCATGAGTCTATTTCTGTTTTGATGATGCTTTCTAAGCTTAATTTAAATTAATTGTAAAACTGTATAGAAGGGGTTAAAAATTGTTTGTAAATTAAGTTACGCTGTATGATCTTTCACATTTCTAATAATGTAAATTAAAGAAACATGGGTGAAAGTTGATTATCAACTTAAATTATTGATTGCCGAGTTTATATTTTTTACTTCCAAATGTAATGTTTTTAAGGTGTCATTCAGAGACTAGAGAGGAAAAAGTAAGCTCTAATGTTTATATACTTTGCACCAATCTAGTCATTTAATTGCATTCAACTTTCACCCATGTTATTTTTTTTGAGTACAAAATGACTGAAATATGATGAATGCCACATGACTGACAATACTGTTGTGTGTTTTTCTCATCCGGTCAAGCAGTCCAGCCATAAGCCCTCATAAGCTACGCTCTGTCGAGTTAAGCCTTTCCTAGCCAACACTACCGTTCAAGGCAGCATCCTTTCCTTCCCATACCAGTGTGGGGGGGAGCCGAGTTGAGAGTGGTCAATGTCCTAGCCACGGCCACCTTGCCTAGCCTAGCCTCGTCTGCCTCTGTCAGAGTCTGTACCAGTCAGTCACTTCAAGGGCCTCCTTGGTCAACTCACATTCTGCACACTTGAAAGTCAACTGAACATTTTTTTTTTAATAAAAGAAATATTTCATGTAGGAAGAAAATAACATTTGGACAAACGAAACGTTAAACGAGACATTTTAAATGTAAATATATAATGTAACTCAAATCTGATTAGAATTAGTTTCACATTTTCCTGAAAATGTCCAATTATTTTAACTGCAAAATAAATTTGTAGCATCCAGTTTTATAAACTACTTATAAAGTTTAAAAGATTAACAAATTTAAAAAAAAAGACATTTAATTTTTCATTTGAAGAAAGTTTGCTTTTGTCTCATAAATTCAGTCTGCAATAATTTATATAGGACTTGTGCTATAGAGAATGAACCAGTTTGCTGCTAGTCATCACGGCGCTGTCGGCTGTTTCCTTTAATGCCGTCAACACTCTTTGCCCATGGAAGGTTTTGAAATCAGTACTACACCATACTTGGCAACTAAGGTTTTCCCCCTTGCTTTGTGTAGCCAGCCTAATCTGGAGAGACCTATGCCTTGCAAGCACAGACCAGCAGCTTGTTGGTCCATCTGCCAAAACCATTGCTAGCCTAAGTGATCCCGACCTACTTTGCTTTGTGTCCTTGGGGGCTGGGCTGTGACCTTGAAACAGAGCATAATCCAGCCTGTTCCCACCAGTATGTTTGTCTTTTTAGTTGTTTTTTTTTTTTTTTAATTAAAAGAAGTTTTCGGCTTTTTTCTAGTAATTTACTTTTGTATTTTGTGTGTTGTGTAATTTTTTTTTATTGTTAAAGATTTGTTTTGACTCATATTTTTCTTTCAAAGATAGTGGTCTTTTCCCCCCTTCGATTTTTTTTTTTTTTTCTTTTTTTCTAGTATTTTTCTTTTGTATTTTGTGTGTTTTGTTATTTTTTTTTATTGTTAATGATTTGTTTTTACTCTTTTTTTTCTTTCAAAGATAGTGTTCTTTTCCCCCCTTCGATTTTTTTTTTTTTTTTCCACACTTCATTAGTTCCTTGTGAATTGCTTCATAGCAAATTTTCTAGGTAAAAGAATCTTGAATGTATTTGTGAACAGTTACTTTGATTTTGTGATTGGTCTTACTACTTTTTTAGAGTTTGCTCAAGTTGTAAGAATTGTTATCTCTGTCTACTTCACGTTCAGTAAAAGTAACTGGCCTTTTAATGTTTTCATCATCTATTTTCCTGTTGGTTTTAGGGTTTCATTTGGTTAATCCATGGCAATTTCTTTCGTTGAATGTTACCATTATTGTAATGGTGTAAGTTTTAATTTTATGTGAATCTTTGGTCACATTCTGAATGTTAAAGTTTCTTGATGGGGTACTTGTATTCTGATTTTTTAAACTGGCTTTATTTTATTTTACATTTTGTTTTCAAAGCATCTTCTGCCTTTCTTTAGTCGTAAGACTTGTTTGTCTATTGTTTTGAATATTGTCACAAAATATCTGTCCAATCCCATCATCTCAGGACTGTGTTAAATATGAACATGGAAGAGAACTAAACGGCCAAAGCATCATTGTAGAGTGGGCCAAGGGTGGTAAAGATAGAAGAATGGTAAGTTCTGAGCATTTCATATTTATTTGTTAAGTTTTTTTTTACCAAGTTTAATTAATCTACAAATATATTTCTTTTATTGAAATTTGTTTGCAATGTTGATTTGTAATAATAAATATTTTTATTATAATCTTTCAGAAGAGAAATGAGAACAGCTCTTCTTCCCAGAGCTATGATGAATGCTTTCGTTGTAGAAGAACAGGCCATTGGGCAAGAGACTGTCCTGAACTGAGATGGGGACGTCGTGGTGGTGGTGGCGGCGGCGGAGGAGGTGGTGGCGGTGGCGGAGGAGGAGGGGGTCGATGGAGATCACCATCGCCTAGAAGGAGGTACAGGTCAGACAAGCAATACTAAGGAATTCATTCTTTGAGTTGCTGTGTCTTTTTTTTTCATTATTTTTATTTTAAATGAAGGAAATTTTATTTTTAACTGACTTAAATTGTAATAAATTTCTGTACAGTAAACTGCTGCATTCAAACTGCCCCAATCTCACTATTTTCTATTTATGATACAAGTGTTGATTTTGCAATCTAGAGGGGGACCCTCTCTGTCATCAGAAATGATGTCATTTAAAAGGTTGAGCAAATATCACTCCCAATTAATCACTAACAGTCTGAATAAAAACATGTTAACCACAGATGTAAACTTATTACTGTAGAGTGATTTCCCTTTTACTGAAGTACATAACATCTATTTGCATTTTCAATAACGATTTTTATGGCAGTTATAGGGTTAATATACCAAATTTTGTTTAAACTGGTACTGTGATAATTTGAGAATACTTTCAGGGTTTTGAGCTATTATCTGCTGAGTAACTCATGGAAGAGTTAAAGGGGTGAAAACTAATTCACTTTTTGGCACTACTCATATTACACCACATTTGAACTTGTTAATAAAATTGACCGCTTTTTATTTCCCACTTTTATGATTGGTAGAATAGAAAATCTTGTAATTCATTAATTTTGTTTAAAGATAATAGAGTTGGCTATTGTTTATATAGTATCGGGTGTTCACCCGTATCAACTTATTTGAATTAATAAAACTTTCAGGTCACGATCCAGGTCTCGTGACAGGAAGCGCAAAAGTCGCAGCAGGTCTCGTGATCGTCGTAGGCGCAGCAAGTCTCGTGATCGCAAAAGAAGCAGAAGTCGTTCCAATGACAGGAAAAGGAGCAGATCCCACAGTGGTTCCCGCAAGTCAAGGAGTGTCTCAGGAGAGAGAAAGAAAGACAGTCGCTCAAAGAGTGGATCACGAGAGAGAAAGAAAAGCGCCTCTCGTAGCAAGTCAAGGTGAGGATGCCGTGGCGGCCTTAGCTTTTATTTAGAATTTTATGAATTGGTAAAAAAGATTCCTTGAATTTTGCTGTAGTAGTTTTTTTTAAATTACATTTTATTTCCACGTTAATAGGGTTCTATTGGGCGTAAATAGGGTTCTATTGCGCAATAAATTCCTTGTTTTAATGGTTATATTTTTCTTTATGATTCACTTTAGGTCTCATTCAAGGTCTCCACGTCGTTCTAAGTCAGGGTCAAAATCAAAAAGCAGATCTAAGAGCCCTCGACAGCCCCTTGAAAACCACACAGAACAACCGTCAAATGGGGCGGCCATAAATGCGAGAGATGATGAAGGTGCAGGGGATGGTGGTGATGAAGAACGGGCATCTAGATCTAGAAGTGGCAGCAAAGATTAAGGGGTGGAAGTTTCTTGTTTAAAAACGTTTGATGTCGTGTTGCTGTTTTTTGTTTTTTTTAATATATAACTATAAAATTCCACATATGTAAAGATTTTATTATGAGGAGCTAAAATTAGATTATTTATCTTGGCAGTAAGATTGCTCCTTCTTAAAATATCCTTCAGTCATGAAAAATATTGTGAGCTACTTGCATTTTTTAAGTTTACTGGTATATTGTTAAAATTGTTAATAGCTTCGCATTTTCTCGAGTGTTCTCTTGGGCTACTAGTATTATAAGGGGGGTCTATTACTCTCTTATTTCTATGTAAAAGAGAGATCTCAAAGGTAATGATAGTATTTATAAAAAAAATTAGCCATTTCTAGATTTAAATCTGTAATGCCCCTTCAAATGTCAATTTATATAATTGTGAAACATAGACACTTCAATGTCTGTATTTCATAAGGCATTATGTTTCACTATCATTATAAATGTTTATGTTGGAATGGAAGGAATTGTAATTGCTTTTATATTTGTTCACTGTACAGTAAGTCTCTTAGTATTTTTTTTTTTTAAATCCTTCATACATTTTATTTTTCACCATTGGTTGGTATTTTAATATGATTCAGTTAGCAATCCCTTTATTGTTACAAGTTGGTGGGTAAAGTATTTTAAAGTAATTGGGAAAATATTTAGCATTGTTGCTGAAGCTAAATTCATTCATGTAAATGGTGGGTGGTTTTAGTAGTATTAGTTTAAAAGGGATTGCTGCACAGTCATATCTTTGCTTCATTTGGAGATTGACCCTTGGTATTTGTCTTAACTATTCAGATGATTGAGTAAAATAATAAATGACTATAATGGGAAAACTAAATACTGTTTCATGTCTTTGTTTTGATATAGAGGAAATACAAGCACCTTTTACTTGTATACACTACAGGTAGTTTTTTTACTTTAAATGGTACACATAACTGTTCAATTTTATCAAGTCCTTTTCAGAACTGAACTGTATAAAAATAAACTGAATACATCTCTGTAGATTTGATCCCATTTTAAAGATGTACTGAACTGGTATTGTTTGGAAAGCCAAATTCAGGGGTTTGAAACAGCAGGTTAGTTTCAAGGAACACTGACTAAAGTATTTCAAAATTATTACTTAAAAAAAGTCTTGTAAGTCTTTTATTGTGGCAATTTATTTACATCAACTTTATAGAATGCATGTTCACAGCAAGATTTTGAAATATGGTACATAACTTGCAAGAATTCATTATATTTTCATAAGCATAAAAAGTTGGTTCAATAGAAATAAATTGTAGAAAAAATAAAATTATTTATATGAAGATCAGGGGTTCCAAACTTGCAGGTCACATAATTGGATCTCACTGAACTTTTGGATCTCACTGAACTTAAATTCTAGATCTAGGATAAAAAAATAATATAATTTTTTTTTTAGATTGTGGTAGGGCTCGCAGGTTTAGAAAAATGGGGCGTGAGTTCAGAAAGTTTGGAAACACCTGGAATTGATAGTAATGATTACTTTTGGCAACTTTCTGTAGGTTTTTTTTTTTTTTTTGTTCTGGTAATGAGCAATAACATGTACATACTTTTTACCAGCAAGAACTACAAATCAAATTTTATTAACATTGAGTTCAGAAAGTTTGGAAACACCTGGAATTGATAGTAATGATTACTTTTGGCAACTTTCTGTAGGTTTTTTTTTTTTTTTGTTCTGGTAATGAGCAATAACATGTACATACTTTTTACCAGCAAAAACTACAAATCACATTTTATTAACATAGTATAATACCACAAAATTCAAAATACATATAATGTTGCTTCTAATTATATTAGATGATAAGACCTAATCCTTAACTTAGAAGTAAATCTAATAGGATGATGAAAACTGACTTTTCTTTAATTGGACAATATGAAGCACTACTACTACTACTAGTTAGTACTAAGGATATTTTAAATTTTGTTATTCTCTATGGTATTGTAGTTGTGAAATTTATCCCAGTACCAGGGTACTCGCAATATTTTCTCACAAAGTGAGTACTGAAGGGGTGTCTGCAAAATATGCATCTTTTCCACCACACCCCCACCCTCCTGCAGGTGGCTTTAAAATTGTAAATACTTGAACATAATATTATATAAAAGCTAATGCAGCAAAATTTCTAGAAAGTTCTTTCTTTGCAATATTTTCTCACAAAGTGAGTACTGAAGGGGTGTCTGCAAAATATGCATCTTTTCCACCACACCCCCACCCCCCTGCAGGTGGCTTTAAAATTGTAAATACTTGAACATAATATTATATAAAAGCTAATGCAGCAAAATTTCTAGAAAGTTCTTTCTTTTCCTCACACCCCTTTCCAATCCTTGTCTTTCATAAAGATCTGAAATTTATATTGCAAGCAAGGGTGCTGTGAAACTTAAATTACTTGACAATACAGATAAACTTAATTAAATAAAGTTATAGTTTGCTAAAGTAAATGGACAATTTTCTCTATTAACATTTCTTCCATCTATATCCCTCAGCTTTAGAAAAAAAGACATGGTTCAGCGATACCGGTAATATTGAATTTTATCCCAGTTTGTGGGGAGATTGCGCAATGGGGGAAAGGAGCAGAGAAAGTTTTGAAGTACGGAATGCAATATGCTAACCCAGTATTGTATACCATTGATAAGACAGTTGAAATTTTTTTTAAAACATGGTCATCTTGAAAGTATTAAAAAATTAAACCAACAAAGTCAAGAGCATTTTTTTTCTCAAAAGGTAAAGAAATTTCATTAACGCATGAGGCAAGATATTTAATAGGGTACATAACTGAAATTAGTTATGGTCTGTCATAGATGATAATGATAGTGTAGCTTCCTATCAAGAGTCTGAAACTGGAGTGGCAGTCCTTGATGTATTTTCAGTTTCAGCAATTAACCATCGAAAGTTATTCTTTATTTTTGTATTTGTTTGTGACCTTAGGACAGGGGTGTCGAACTCAAATCAGATTTAAGGTTGGGGGCCGAACAGGATAAACATTCAATAAATAGTAAACTTGTTTATGTTGGGAGTAACGTTCTATATCATTGAGATTCTCATGATGGACTGCAAGTGCATCCAAAGTATTCAAAGTTCTACAGATATAAGTAGAGATTGTGCAATACATTTTATCTAATAATATTAAGATTTAAAACTTGAAAATATCTGAACAAACTAAAGATGAAAGGCTAAATGAACCATCCATGTATTACTGTTTGGCATGACCAAATAATTTACATTCTCCCTCACTGTTGTGTCACATACATGTTTGAGCAGCCTCTATGTACCTTATACAAATAAGATAACCCTGCCCACCCCTCAACCCATCTATAAGTATAAGCAAAAATGTTCCATCTTCCAAATCAGTACCAGTAAACCGTACCAAAAGAAATTTTAATTCTTTATTTAAATTAGGCACATAAAAATTGAATCTTTATTTTTTTTAGAAAGATTTGAAATTGTCAGGGATAATTGTTGAGCAAACTTTGCTTTTGTTGTATATTTTGGTTGAGGCAATGACTAAGAATAAGAAGAAGAGAGCAATGTTCCAAAATATTGTATTTGTCAGAAGCTTTGCTTAAGTATGCAGACGCTGCAGCATAAGGCAAATATCCTTTTTTGAGCCCCCGCCCCCTTTCCCTCTCTCTGAGAAATGACCCAAACAACAGATGTGAATACAAACAAAAGTACAAGTCCATCACAGTGTTCACCAAAGGGCTATCCCACAATACATTGGGATGGTGAGAATTGAGCAAAGAAAATAAATTTATATATGTAACTAAGAACATGTAGGGTTAAATAAGTCAATAATTTAAGTGCTCTTAACAAATCAGTCACTGTCAATTTAATTTTTGTTAAATATTGAGATCTGTGAAATAGGTGGCCTGTTGCACTCACTACCGAAGTTCATGTCATGTCCTACTGATGACTAATAATGAATCAATGTGATCCTTTTTAAAAAAAAAGCATCAAGAAAATAGTCATTAATAATAATTTTTATTGTAAATTAATAAACCATACTTGAGGCCATGTCTGAACATTTTTGCTGAAAGATTGTGGGGAAATTGATCAGATACTGGTAGCAAAAGCATTAAAATTAACAAGTGAATAATTAACAAGTGAATCCCAAAATGTCCAAGTAAAAAATGTCTTTTACTTTTAATAGTTTTACTGGTACTGGTCCTATTAAAAATAAAAGAGTGCATCAGGACAAAAAATTAATTAATAGTTCTTAAGTAATTGGAACTATTTGATGTGTTTCTTTGTACCGGTACCTGTAACACTAATAATAGATAACATCATATCTCATTTTAATTGCAGCCAATCTTCACATTTTATCATCTGGCAGTTGTGACACTTATTCAAATTAAACATGTCATGACAATCTTTTAAACATCTTGGTAGTCATTAGGTCTAATGTAAAATCTTGTAACTTTTTTGGCCTTTTAAACTCTTCCTACATAAATGCCTGTCTAGCATTCAAAGAAATCATGTATTTATATAAATTATAAATCCATATTTATTCAGACAAATTAAACAATATATTTTGATAACACAAAATTGTATATAAAAGAAATAGAAACTGGTAAATATATATTTTACTTATTAAAATTTAAAACAATTCCAAAATATTACCACTTGCCACAGTAAAGTGAAATGAAGATGATTCCATTGAGTCATGTCAGAGCAATTTTTCCATACTAGAAAAGATAATGTAGTGATATTTACACAATCTTTGGTTCCACTTCAAGCACACATTGAAACTTCCCCTAAGTGTTCTAGATGTCAATAAGTTACATTAAGTTGCCAAATCAACCATCATTTGAAAAAAACAATTTTTAAAAACATTCTTTTAATTTTAAATTAAATTATTAGTTTTCTAGTAAAACTTAAAATCCAACAGCACCAATATTAGAGTAATGCTATAACTAGCTTCCCTGGTTAATTTGGAAATGTTTCACCTGTCTGTTATATCAGTCGCACAATTTTTTTTTTTGTGTGATTTTACTGGTGGTACATTACAGAAGGCTATTCCTTTGTGGTACATTACCCTGATGGGTCCTCACAAGAAACATTAGGGGTAGGGAAGGAAGCACCATAATAAAAATATCATAATAACAACATAATTATGTGACCAATTAAAGAAAACCTCTGAATCCTTTTTTCTTTTCTATAAATAAGTTTTTTCCTTCGGGCTACCCTTCCACGACCCTTAAGGACACGCAGCTATTTCTTCTCGCTCCAATCCTCACAGCGCATTTAATATAAACTTCATTTCATTTTCAATAGTCTGTTGTTATGTTATGACTACCGTGCAATCATCTTCCTGTTGTAAGAGCGCTCAAAACAAAGAGTCACATTAAACCACTTGGACATACTGTATTGAAACCAAAGGGAGTGTGAAGATAAATGTAGAAAAAACTGGCCAGGAGTTTGGTTACTTTGTCCAGTATGAACATTGAGAACATGTGAGCAAATCAAACACCAGAAGTGTTAGTAGACCCATGAGAGAACTGAACAGGTTGGCACAGTAGCAAACATGCAAAAATAAACCAAATAAAAAAAATAAGTATCACAATGTAGTGTTTACAAGGAGTATGGAATAGACTGAACATAAGTCATTATGCTGGGTTCACTAGATAAAACAGCACCTACATCTTCATAGAAAACAAATCAAACATTAGGCTTCATACGTCATCATTTATTTAGTGTATCATAGATATATAGAAGAATCTTTTATTTTAGAATCAGATGGCAAAAATTATTTCAATAGTTGGATTGAACAGCACAGTAAACAATGCTCATCAGTAGGTAGCCTTAGCAAAATAAAGAGACATTTATTTGTTCAAAAAAAGATTTGAAGCATAAATTACAAAGCAAAATCGCATTGAAATTTCATTAAATATATATTACCCAAATAATGATAACATT